GCTTGTTCTATAAGATTCATTCCTTCGTGTTCATTTTTTTTGATACCTATGCCATGATACAAACATCCACCATAATTGAACATTGCGATCGGATTTCCCTGAGATGAAGCTTTTTCAAAGTACTCAATAGCTTGTTTGGTATTTTTTTCGACACCTTTCCCATTCCAAAGGCAATAGCCATAATACAATTGTGCTTCTGGTTTATTAATTTCTTCTGCACATTCTTTAAAGTACTTTGCTGCGCTGATTTCGTTTCTTCCATCAACAAGATATAATCCTGCCCAAAATTTGGCCTCAGAAATGCCAAGTTCTGCTTGCTGTCTAAAACATTCCCAGGCTTTTGTTTTGTTACCATTTTTCTTATTATATTCTTTAATCGCATCTTCTAGTGACAATTCAAATTTAAATGATGTAAAATTAATAATCACTCTGGATTCATATTCGCTTAGAGGTCGTTTTGTATTACACAAGGTTTCCATTATTTCAGAAATCTTAGAACGATTCTTTGGATCCTTAGATGTTGCTTTAATAAAAGCAGTAAAAAAATATCAGTTTAATCAGTTATATTTCAATGGTATGTAATTGATAATAATAATGATTTGACACCTTTATAAAATGCTTCCTTCCATTTTTCTGGCACATTTTCGGAAAATGGTTCATGTTCTCCATTTTCAATCTTGGTTCGAATTTCTACAGGATTATTATAGTTTAAATATGGAATCTTTTCCTCGGCAATTTCCCAAATAAGCATTCCAAAACTAAAATATTTAGACTTTTATTAATACAATTAAATCATAAATATAAAATCAATCATTTATTAAAAGCTTACCTATAGATTTCACAATTAAAATCATACTCGTAATTTTGTTTTAATTTTTCAGGAGCCATATATCGTATTGTATCTATTGTTTCACCAATATTTCTAGTACCTTCGTTGAACCCACGACTAATACCAAAGTTAGCAATTTTGGATTTATGATCCTTCGTAATTAGTACATTAATTGATCTAATGTCACGATGTAGAATCTTTAATGTGTGCAAATAAATTAGCCCACGACTAATATCAACTACAAACTCTACTTTTTTCTCCAAATTTAGTGGTCTAAACTTTTCATAGTATTCTTTCAAGTTTCCGTATTCTAACCATTCTGTGACAATATAAATTTTTGTTTCATCGGTAAATGTGCCATAGAATTCAATTATATGAGGGATTCTTCTAAGTTTTCTGAGAATGTCTATTTGTTTTCCAATTTGTTTTGCTGTATAGTCATGAAAATTTTTCATGTTTATTTCTTTAACTGCTATGTGTGTTTCACCATTTGTCCATTTTTTAATATTGCATCCACGCGGTGGATTCTCTTCTGTAACTTTGTAACCCTGAATATTGAAATCCTCAGCATCTTCAAGCAAACTTTGGAAGACCGGTTTAAGAGGATTTCTGACATAATCGAAGTTTATAGATTTCTCTTCTTTGATTTCTTTTGCTGCTTTTAAAAATTCTATGATCTCCGAAGCAATAAAGCCATTTTCATCTGCAACTCCTGGATTATTTTCAAAAAACTTATAATTTGATTGATTTTAGTACTAAACTTACACAAAAAAGGACAAATAAGAAACAAATCTACATACTCTCTTTATTTCTAGACTATCCTTTTTTAATTCATCATCTGATAATTTTGAAAAGAAATTGAATTTTAATTTTTCAAAATTTAAACTTAATTTTTTTGAACATTCATCAAAATTCTTTTCAATTTCACGGAATTGTTGTTCGATTTCATTTAGTGATTTAAAACTTGCCAATCCTTCGATTTGCGAAACCTTTTCAACAAAATTTACAATATTAACTATACAATTATTTAATTCATGAAATCCTTGATATGTTTCCGGTTTAGCCAAAAATTTACAATAATCATAATCACTTTTATGTGATTCTAATTCATTAATATATTTTTCAACATCAGCAACTCGCTCTACAAGAGCAAATCCTGTACGTTTGCAATGATTTGCATCTTCATATATAGCGGTTACTTTGCGGTAATACTTTTGGATATCAATATAACTTCCAAATGGTCTGAGCCCTCTAATTTTAAGTCCAGAACTCCTCGGTCTTGGCATTATTGAAGCAAGCAAAGATGCAGTTAAAGTGCATGTTCGAAGAATATTTTGAATTGATTGTATTATATGTACTTTATAGTCGGAGAGCGGATGTTTAGTCATAGTGACACAAAAGTTACGTTCTTGATATATTACTAGTAAACGTTTTTTTGTTTCACCTTGTATTTGATTGGTATTAATAATGTTTGACGTATAGCAAAACTTTTCCAAGGTCTATGCCAAGGATGATGCATAACTTTTATTCTTATTTCTTAAACAATTAGTCTATGCGAAGTTAATTTTGTTCACATCAACTTACTTTCCATTTACTAATTTTTTTTTTCTGACAGAATTTCAGACAAAGACCCTATATCTAATATTTTATTGATTTAATCGAGTTGCAAGAGTTTTATCTAAAGCTGTTAATAGAATATTACCTTCCAGAATATTAACCACACTTGCATGATTCGTACGCTACAGGTTGATACAAGAATAAATAGAATGATTTATTTCAGAGCCACTACTATACAAAGATTAAAATGTCAAAAAAAGATTGAATAATTAATGCAAGAGTATTAAATAAAGTTGTTCTAGATATCAAGATATAAGCTATAATTGGCAATATTTTTTAAAATGAGTGAGTGGCCAAGAGAAAACCTTTACGTCATGCCTTTTGAGCATTTACTTTTAATAAAATTGTCTTAAAATCAAGTAGTTAAGATTTAATATTATTCAAATCGTCTCACTAAGAAAATTCAAATGATATTAAAGTAATAAGTGTTAAGTTACCTATTTAAAACATTTTTATTAAAAGCGTGTATTAATTACTCAAATATGCAAAAAATTATCAGGAGTAACAAAGTATGAAGTTTATTCTGGTGCAATAACTCTGGTATGATTTGGCTTTAATATTACTCTGGCAAAATATATTCCACTCCACTCTGGATCCCTACATTAACATCCTTAGTTTTTCAATCGCAGGAGTGCCTTTCTGTTCGTTATACATCATTAATTCGTATTAACACATCATAAACGTAATTTATAAACGTCTGCATGTGTCACTATTTATCGTTAATGCTGTAGTGCAACAAAAAAGTAGGGGTGTATGTTTTACCCGCGAAATAAGTGGTGCAATTCCCTGTCGCACTAAGTGTCTCTCATGAGCACTTATATGGCAATCAAATTTGGTGAAACGCGAGATTTGCTATGTTTGCTCTTACCGGTCTATTAGCTAATACAATTTATCTTTCTAGAGGTCGGTTAAATTTAGTAAGGAGGATTTTTTATAAATAGTATCAAAGAATGCAATTTAAGCGGAATGTAGATCATATATTTAATTAACTCTAACTTTATTTCTAGTGGCTAAAAAAGGATAATCTCCGTATCACGGGGTTGAATATAGTTCTTGCTATTGTTGGTGGCAAAAGCACCAAACTTCGCTGCGCCAAATTTGACGTCACAGGACCCGAAAACGTGACGAAGCCCCAAGGCTTATTGTTTGGGCAGTGGCAGAAGCTTAATAGCTCAAGCTTGTAAACCCAAAACTGATAAAATTATACTCAAAAAACTTCAAACTTTCTTAACTTTTCTTTTTTTTTTTTTTTTTGTTATTTGCCTTCTAACAAACACTGAGATATTTTTTTCATATAACTTTTTACTGCATAACCCATATTGCCCAGGCCCCAAATCTTAGTAGTTTATCCTTAACTATATTTAATTTCTTTTTAATTTAGTACAAGATTAAAACTTTAACAAATTTGGCTTTATTAAATTTAAATGGAGTAATCTTTTAGCACCAACAACAGCATCAGGATATAGGTAAGATTTTCTGAGTCATTTAAAAAATCAAGCTCTGGTCAAGACCAGAATTACATAATCAATTCACAATAACAATACTAATATAGATTTTTTTAAAAAAATTATTTACTATAACACAATAAACTAGTATCAAAGAATTAACAATTATATAATTTTTATACTAATATTACATATTTATTATATTATACTATAATTTACAGTAAAAAAAAAATAAATATTTAATTTTAACTATTATACTAACTATAATTAATTATTAACAACATACCAATATAATGAATTAAAAATCTTAAAACCAGAAGCTCAATTCCAAAGAAAACAAGTGAAAGTTAATTAAAAAGAGAAATAGATATTAGTTAAATACACTATACAATCAAGAAAGCCAATTTCAAAGAGAAAAAGAAAAGTAGATGTTAGTTAAATATGCTATACAATCAAGAAAGCTAATTCCAAAAAGAACAAGCAAAAGCAAAAAGAATATTATAAACACATCTTACAACCAAGAAAGTATCTACTTAAAAATTCAAACCTAGAAGCTCAATTTTAAAGAAAACAAGTGAAAATTATCTGAAAAAGAAAAGTAAATATTAGTTAAACACACTATACAACCAAGAAAGCTAATTTCAAAGAGCAAGTGAAAATGAAAAAAGGTTATAAACATATTTTAACCAAGAAATTACCCACCCAAAGATCTAAACCAGAAGTTCAATTCCAAGGAGTACAGATAAAAGTATCTGAAAAAAAGAAGTATGCATTAGTAAAATATGCTATATAATCAAGAAAGCTAATTTTAAAGAGAACAAGCAAAAGCAAAAGGAGTGTTATAAAAATGTTTCACAACCAAGAAAGTACCCACCAAAAATTTAAATCTGAAAGCTTAATTCAAAAAGAACAAGTGAAAATTACCAGAAAAAAAGAAGAGAACATTAGTTAAACACACCAAATAGCCAAGAAAGCTAATTTCAAAAAACAAGTAAAAGCAAAAAGAGTATTGTAAACATATCTCACAACCAAGAAAGTATTCTCCCAAAAATTCAAAACCTGAAGCTCAATTTTAGAAAGAACAAGTAAAAATTATCTGAAAAAAAAAGTGGGTATTAATTAAATATATTATATAACTAAGAAAGCCAATTCCAAAGAAAACAAGCAAAAGCAAAAAGAGCATTATAAACATATCTTATAACCAAGAAAATATTTATCCAAAAATCCAAACTTGGAAGCTCAATTCTAAAGAGAATATACAAAAGTTATCTGAAAAATGTTAGTTAAACACACTAAACAACTAAGAAAGCTAATTTCAAAAAACAAGCGAAAGCAAAAAGAATATTGTAAATATATTTCACAACCAAAAAAGTATCTACCTAAAAATCCAAAACCTAAAGCTCAACTCCAGAGTAAATAAGCAAAAGGTATCTGAAAAAGAGAAGTAAGTATTAGTTAAACATGCCATACAATTAAGAAAGCTAATTTTAAAAAGAACAAGATCATTGTAAACATGTTTTATAATCAAGAAAGTACTTGCCCAAAAATCCAAACCTGAAAGCTCAATTCTAAAGAAAACAAGTAAAAGTTATCTAAAAAAGAAAAGAGAGCATTTGTTAAACACACTATACAATTAAGAAAGCCAATTTTAAAAAACAAGCAAAAGTGAAAAGAGCATTATAAATATATCTTACAATCAAGAAAGTATCTACCCAAAAATTTAAACCAAGAAGCTCAGTTCTAAAAGTACAAGTAAAAGTTATTTGGAAAAGAGAAGAAATATTAGTTAAATACACTATATAATCAAGAAAGCCAATTCCAAAAAAACAAGAAAATCAAAAAGAGCATTGTAAATATATCTCACAACCAAGAAAATATCTATCCAAAAATCTAAAACCTGAAGCTCAATTCCAGAGAAAACAAGTGAAAATTATCTGAAAAAGAGAAATGAGTATTAGTTAAACATACTTTACAATTAAGAAAACCAATTCAAAAAAGAAAAAAAAAGCAAAAAAAGCATTATAAATATGTCTTACAACCAAAAATATACTACAAAAAAATCTAAACCTAAAAGCTTAATTCCAAAAAGAACAAGT